TTAAAAGTTTACACATAAAATACACATAATACAACGTTTGTATTTAAAAATCACCTAAGTAAATAGTCCCAAAAGGTGAAGCCGGTTGTGATTGGGATTTTGATTTTGATTGCGATTTTGATTGCCTTTTGCTTGACACCATATGAGCTTTGGATTTTGATGATGATCCATATTTTGGTAGAGGAAAAGATGATTGTGATGGCACTGGTGATCTACATGTCAACCTTGTATGACCACTTTCCTTGCACCGACTACATGTCGATCTCTTCTTCTCTTCACCCTTAGACGGTATACGATCGTGACTTTTTGGTCGGCCAGGTAGCCTTCTGTCCATGGCTGGTGGCAAAACTGTTTGTAAGTCATCTGGTATGTCCCACTCAGAAGGATGTGGAATAGGGTAGATAATCTCGGCATAAGTCTGTCGATATACTTCTGTAGTGTAGCAATCCATAGTATATGCGCTTGAATCATCTTGGTTTAGATGAAGAGCAACTTTTATAACATGGCCACACGGATAACCAGATGTTTGCCATTTCATACAACTACACGTCTTTGCATTTAGATCGACAAGCCCATTTAAGTTATTATCCAGTACTTCAAACAAAGTGTTTGAACATGGTTCAACTCTCCATGACGTTGACTTCACAACACATTTCGTTATCTTTTTTTCAGTCCATGGTGTAACACGATGTTCCAATGTTCCTGTAAATTTAAATAAATAATACTTAGTAAAATATATGATAAGTTATGAATTTAAAGAAATAATACCTACATGGTTTTTTTTCTTGTAGTACCACTATTGAATAGAGGCTCAAAAAAACTCCATTAACATAGTAATGGGTAATTTCCGGGAATGAAGACTTAGAGCGTTGATTGATTCTGCACTATTAGACGTCATGAAACCATATCTTGCTCCAAGTTGATGTACTCTTGACCATCTTTCAAACCCGACATCTTCTAGTGTTTGAGCACACTAAGGCAAAACACGTCTTAAACAATTTATATGCTTATTAAAATCCACTTCCCGATAAGCTTTTATAGCCTTTCAGTATGTCCATTTGTGATTTTTTATACCAGCAGACCTTCATTTTAGATTTCTATATAAATGAACACCACAAAGTCCATGAAAAGCATCTGGGAAACACCTTCTAACAGCGTTGTCAATTGAGTTTGCCTTATCGGATATGATTTTCAGATTGCTAATAGGACCTATGCAATCCCTAAGATGCCCCATAAACCATATCCACGAATCAGAGGTTTTAGATTTGCCAACCCCGTAAGCTATTAGCAGTATCCCATTGTTAGCATCCATGGCTACTGCTAATAAGTTTACTCCAAGGTATCAACCTTTTAAATGTGCTCCGTCAACTATAATAACTGGGCACATGCAAGTAATAAACGAACGAATCTACAAAATCATATACACAAGAAATATAATCATTTAAATGTGAAATGCATGTAACTAACAAAAATGAGTCAACAAAATTATATTGATTTACTAACCGCAGCACCAATGGCGATAAACAGCAACTTAAAGCGTCCATCTCTATCTGTTTTGATATAAGTTACTGACCCATGATTTTTCAGCTTTATATTGTGACAATAAGCCGGCAGTTGGGCAAACGATGCTTCTGGTGACCCCTTCAACAATTCCAAGGCATAACATTTGGCTCTCCAAGCTTGAGAATATGAGATACTAATCTTGACCCGAGCATTCATGTCAGTCATAATTTCATGTCCCCGATATACCCTGCCATTCAAAAACATTAACTCAGCCAGAAAACCACCCAACACCTTTTTGTTTGCCTGTCTATGGTGAGGAAAAACTTGGGTTATTGAACATGTATGTTTATCAATAAAAGTCCTAACTTGAAACATTTCACAATCTTTTATCCTTTTTGCAATCATACACCATTTACAGTTTTTGTCAATCATACACCTTGTTTCGAAACGATCTTTGCTTGATTTGTTAACTTTTAGTTGATAGCCATCTTCCACACATTTCGTATACAAAGCTATCTTCAAGTCTTCCTTTGTATCAAAACAATCATCTTTCTTGATACGAATAATTTTTGTGTAACAATCAACTGCTATTTTTACCAACTCTTCTTCCGGTATCTGAAGTAATTCTGGCATATTCCAGTTATACTCCCGTGGCATTTTCTTCGGGGATTTCTTCTTCTTCTTTTTCTTCTTCAGGGTTATATGAATTACAGAATGGATGTTCAACATGTTCATTCACAGTCGTAACTTCCTCCTCATTATCATCAACAACATCTTCCTCGGCAGCGGCTGTTTCATCATTAAAATTTGGGTATTGATCAATATCAAAATCATTACACGCAGGGTCTGTTTCTTCTTCTGAAATATCATCAAAATCTGAGTATTGACCAAGATCAAACTCCGGGTATTGACCAAGATCAAATTTCGAATACCGACTAGTACTCACAATTTTTTCTGTTGGCTCATCATCGTCTAACTGGTTAATACGAAAACCGGAATTTGGTGCTGAAAGTTGATTGGGATTTGGATTAGGGAAAGGTTGTGGGTTTTGAGATTGTGTTTGGTATTGGAAATGTGGTGAAACAAAATTTGCTTGGTGATGAAATTGTGGTGGAACCATTAAATTTTAAGCACCATAAACTGGGGTTGAAAAACTTAGTTGATTACTACCCGCTACTGACCCAACTTCACTACTTCTAGGTTCAACAACATACAATGTAACATCATCTTGCGAAACACTAATGTAAGCAATGAATCGTTCAACATCTTCATTGTCGGTTAACAAATAAACTTTACCTTTTCTCTGATAAGATAGCCTAAATCCACTTAAGGGCTCTAAATTCAATTTATTTGCAACACGCAACATTAGAGTTTCATAAGTTAACTTTTTTAATGACAGTTTTAGTTGAAGATTCATGGGTAAAGGCATATATTGTAAAACACCATGAACATTCTCCCATGACCCTCCAAAACACAAATCTATCCAAACATGATCAACATTAGATGATTTCATTATTGTAAATTAATTTACTAAACAAACGAGCTGCGAAACTAAAACCTGTTGCCGGATAGGGAAGGATGTCGTTGGATATAAGAACGGATGTCGCCGGAGAGAGTGATAGATGGAGATGGAATGAGTTGCGATTTAGGGATTTAGGTTATGAGTTACTTCTGCTACGTAGTTATATACCCAAAACATTTGTGTTGCGAAACTAAAACCTGTTGCGAATTTGAAATTCAGCATTGCGACAGCCAGAATCGTGTTGCGATAGTCAGAATCGCATTGTGATTTACATATTCGCGTTGCGATAGTCATACTCGCATTGCGATTTACATATTCGCATTGCGATAGTCGGAAAATCGCAATGCGATAGTCAGAATCGCATTGCGAATCTGGAAACTGATTTGCGATACCGGAGATCGGGTTGCGAATTATCGATCGCATTGCGATTTAGTTGGTCATTTTGGCAAATACAAAAAAAGTTGGTTAAAATTATATATTATAAGACATTTTTGGTCACTGAAGTCATTTTCTCTTTCAAATATTGCTAGTTATTTTTTTTAAATCATAAAAAATAACAAGCTGGCAAAAAAATTCAAATAAAACGCAAAATAAATATATCTTTAAACATCCTCCCTAACCCAAATTAAAAATAAATATATTTACATAATTTAATGAAAGATAAATTACATTTTTGGTCATTTAACTTTATCTTTATTTCTATTTTAATTATACAACTTTAAACTTGTTTTTTTATCATTTAATTGTTAAGTTTTTTTTTTAATTTATTAATATTATGTAAAATTCTCTAAAATGTTCTTTTCAAACTTAAACTTTTAGATTTATTTTGTTTGATCGGCACTAAAGTATTTTCTTTTAGATTTGAATAGTAAAAGATCAAGAAGGAAAAAGTAAAATATTATATCTTAATTTCATGATAATCAAATATTAGAAATTACAGATCAAACTAAGGTAATATTAAAAAAAAATATTGAAATTTTATCAATTTTGAGAGAAATCAAGATAAAAGAAAATGCAGAGAAAGTGAAAATTTATTTTGATATTAACTTCGAATGAATAGTTAACGATGATAAAAAAATTACTAAAAATATCGATTATAAAAAGATATATTAAAATTTTATTTATCATTATTCTTAAAAATGTGGTAGAAAATTGATTTTGATATTTTTTTGGATTATTTGATTTAAGATTTAAATGTTTAATATTGTCTTCAAATTTTTTTGGAGAGGATAAATGATTGTTTTAAACAATATATTGTAAGTTAAAAATATATATTTAAATACCAATCGCCAATTGGTCTGGTGAGATGAGACACTATAATCTTTAAGTAAGATTATGTGTTTAATCTTGACATTTCCGTATAGAGTAAATTGGGTTGGGAGGGTCGTCCTTATAATAAGCATCTACAAAATTCGATCTAGATTTGTCGATTAATAGATTAGATACCAATGATTGATTTTAAAATTATACATTTAAATATTTTTTAGTTTTTAATATTACAATATAAAATACATCAACTTAAATTATGATAAAAATATACATTTTTTTAAATTTTTATGTATTTTACGAGAATATATAAAAATTTAAATAATTTTATCTAAAAAATTTAACATGATATAAATTCTTCAAACTCATAAATAATTTATTAATTAGATGAATATATTTTAATAAAAAATATACATTTATAAACTATAAAAAACATATTATAGGATAAAATAAACATATTTCAAGTATTTATCTAAACATAAATACTAAAATATTCAGTTTTTGCGCTTAAGTTAAAAAAATACTTTTTAAAACTATTTTTTCTCTAAAATTTATTTGTTTAAAATTACTTATAAAAAATACTTTTAACCTCAAATACATTTTTAATAAATAATAGTAAATACAAAGTTTTTACGGAGTGACTAAATGCGTAATTTACACAACATTTTTGTTAAATCTTCCCTTTTTCCCATATAAAACTCGACGTAAATGAAAAGCAAAAGATCATCGCATTCACGCATTTCCTTACCTTCCCTTGCTTTTTAGGCTTTTGCCTTGTATTTTATTTGTTCCCCCTTTCATTGCTTTTGTATTTTCTTCTTGTTTTTTCAATGGTGATAGAGGATAACGCGAGTTACGTGAGCAAAGCGAACGATTTGTCGCCGTTGCAGAGCCGGCAACAGCGGCAAAAGCTCGAGGTTTACAATGAGGTTCTCCGGCGGCTACGTGATTCCGACCTAGAAGAGGCTAATCGGCCCGGCTTCGATGAAGAGCTTTGGGCTCACTTCAATCGTCTCCCTACTCGGTATATCCTTTATTACATTTTGTTTTTTTTTCTTGAAAATTTACTGCATGCATAAAATACAAAAGCAAATAGCAGTAATATTTCTGCATATTTATCTTCTTCTTTTATCCGTATATGTTATAATAAATTTATTTAAAAAAAATTGAGATACTGAATCTCAGGTTGGAGATTCCTTTTTTATCATCTTATTCTGTTTGGTTTTTGTTCTTTGCATTTAACTTAGCTAAGGAACTGTTTGTTTTAATATTTTGTCTAAATCAGTAAGGCTTAATATAAATTTCTTGTTTAAGGTTTTGTTTTTTTTATTATTATTATTTTGATTCTTTATTTTTTTGGTTGATTTTTGGCTTGTTGCCTATAAGATCAGAAATAAGTAGAGTGAAGCCGATTTGATTAGTCATTTTCTCATTTTGTTTTGATTAATCATTAGTTGTTTTAATTAAGCGCGGGTTTTCTCATTGCAGCTATGCGTTGGATGTGAATGTGGAAAGGGAAGAAGATGTCCTTATGCACAAGAGATTACTACATTTGGCTCATGACCCTGCCAATAGACCGGCAATGGAAGTTCGGCTTGTGCAGGTGACTTGTTCTTTTTCAATTTCATTACAGTGCACTATGATTTGCTTTACTTTTCTAGTACAAGTTTAAATTTGTTATATTTCTTTGGCAAATCTTTAGAATGATAGGATGCCTATGGGTTACTGCCACGAGTCATGTGATTTGGTGTACCTTGCCTTATCAGGCCTTGTAAATTGAAAGATTTCATGTTCCTGTTCTAAGTACCTAGCTTTTTTAGATTATTAGAAATATTATTAATTGTATCCAACAATGATAAGCATACAAATGTTACTTATATCTTTGAGAAAATTTCGAAGTTGAAATAATAATGATCTTTTTGGGGGTCCAGTAGAATTCTGTATATGCTGTAACATAAAAGTTTTCGTTTGCATTGACTAAAGCATCTATATTTAGTTGATTAAGTTGCCTTTTCTATGTTGTTTCAAAAATGCGTGCTGAAGTGCATACTAAGTTTTTATTTAATTAGCGAGTTTATATGAGTTTGGACATTAAATTTGACTTAATTTGCCTAAATATCCATAGCTTATGTAAAAATTCTTTTGCCTGTAGTTGTCACCCCTGTCAAGTTGATCTCTGTCTCTAACTTGGTTGCATCTGACTTATTCTTTCTCTTGTGCTGCATTTCACATCGTGGAGATCATTCTTTGTGTTGTATCTTCTTTTCAAGGTAGTAGCAGTCATAGTAGAAAGAAAGAGAGGGATTCTTGTGAAATATGAACATTATTCAACATGATAATCTTAAATTGCATACCGAAACTGTTAGATTTATTGAATTCCATCTAAATGTGATAACCTATAGGTCCAAGCCCTATATTTGTTTTCAAATATTCTGGTACTTTGTTGTATTTGTTTATAGTCAAACGCACAATGATGACTTCCTGCTTTTGTAGGTCCAATCTGTTTCTGATGTGAATTCAGCTGTTTCAAATCCCATGTGTGGGGAATCTGCTCAATGTTCTCCAAAACACTCTAGAAGACAGAGGTTTGATTTTGAAAACTTTTCCATCTGTAATGTACATGGATTAATTTCATAAAACGTGTGGGGCTGATATCTTTTAATTTTTTTTCCTATCAATATTTTTGTTCATGTTGCATCTTGACTGTTTTTGGTGTCAGTGCTGACAATTTTAGCTGGGGTTTGGATTGTCAGCATAATTCCGCCTCCTACCTTTGGCTCATCCCCTAATCTTGAAGCCCTTGCACTAGAAGCAAATAAATCTCAAGATGAAGATGGGGATAGCTCTGTACATGCCAATGCACATTTTTCCCAGTATGTATTTTGTCTTAAAATATCCTTTTTCAAGAGCTGCATTTGGGTTTTCTTATACTTTTCCAATATTTTATGTTATTTCTTTGAAATACTCAGTAGTGCATTGATAAGCTCTTATATTCAACTTTCTTACTTAGAGTCACGAGTCCTCACCCACTCTGTTGCTGTTCATAGACTGATATGTGTGTCCTTCTTAATATGTTCTATCCATTTGGTTTTCTAATTGTTGCCGATGCAGGCCCATGCATGAAATTATGTTTTCAACGGAAGACAAACCCAAACTTCTCAGCCAGGTATATATAATTATGTTCGTCAAATAGAAGTGTAAATTTTTGTTTTCCCCCTCTTAAATTCCATCTAAGCTACTGACAGTTTATACTGTTCTTAGGCAGTCATTTTTCTTGCAGAAATAGTTCAAATGTTTACAATTCAGTATTGTTTCTCATTCCATTGGATCTTGCTCGTGCAATACTTGCAGTTGACTGCATTGCTTGCTGAGATTGGGCTAAACATCCAGGAAGCACACGCATTCTCCACTGTTGATGGTTACTCCTTAGATGTTTTTGTTGTTGATGGTTGGCCTTATGAGGTAAATTTCATTAAAATATCTTTCATATGGACATAGTTTTTTTTGTACACTGACCATTTGACTAGATGAAAAGTTACAGCTATCATGATATTTTCCCCAGTCTTTTATGTTTATCTGCCAATATAACTGTCCTTATCATTCCTTAAAATTTTTCTTAACTGTCTGTTTCCTCAATTTGTGATTTCTATTTGTTATTTTAGAGGGTAATTATTTTTTTTGTTGGCACACATGTTAAGGTTTAATTTAGTGAATTGCATTGGTGCTTACTGTACTTAAATGGTTTAAGCGTTTTTGTACCAGAAAATTATAATATTTCTAGAACTTGTTTGACAGACTTGTGATATGAAATTGTCAGGAGACAGAGGAGCTTAAAGTTGCTTTGGAAAAGGAAGTCTTAAAAGTTGAGGTAATCCATCCATCCCATCAGCATAGTTTATATTCTTGCTCGCACCGAGTGTGCTTATCATATTTATGTTGCGGTATTATGTTAACATACAGGTTTGTTGAGGGTCCAATTCAGTAACATGTTTGAGCTATTTGTCTTTGATTGCTTTCTATAGCTTTGAAGTGGAGCCCTGCAAAATTATTCAGCTGTAAATAGGTCTAAGGCCTTTCCATTACTGGAAATGATTCTTTATCATATCATTCTGAATTAGTTATTTTCATGCATCATTAACCCTTTTGTTACTCTTCACTGGAGGTTTACATCTGGCTGACGGTCAACTAGTTCTAAGTAGTTTGATGACAGTCTTTAAATCTGAATTGATTAATATTTGTATTGTGATCTGCATAAGCTCTTTGGATGTATTACATGCTTTCGGCATAAGTGATTGGTACAGCATTACTGCTGACATGCTTAATGTTCATAGAGAAATGAACATTTCTGCTGTGAAAGTTATAATTTATTAGCTAAAATATTATATTTTATTATGAGCAACTCAAACTCAGTTTTCTCTTTCAAAGGGTTTTCTGCAGAAGCAATCTTGGGTGAATCAGCATTCCTTCCCTCCAAGGAGGTACTATGAGAAAATGGGGACCAATGGTGATCAGAATCACGTGGCAATTCCTAATGATGGGACTGATGTTTGGGAAATTGATCCTAGACACTTGAAGTTTGGGAACAAAATTGCATCTGGGTCATATGGGGATCTGTAAGTGAATAATTACTTTCTTATGGAGTTTTTTTTTAAGCTTTAATATAATATTTTCCCCTTTTTATCTGTTTCAGGTTTAAAGGTACTTACTGTAGTCAGGAAGTGGCTATTAAGGTCCTGAAGCCAGAGAGTATAAATACCGATTTGCAGAAGGAGTTTGCCCAGGAAGTTTTTATCATGAGGTTTGTATTGAATTGTCTCGATGATTCTAACTTTTAATTCTAACAATATGACATTTGTAGATTTTTTATTTTATCAAAATGGAATGCGTCTTAGTTCCAGGAACAATCTATTCCGCTCATGACAAATTTCCTTCAAATGTGCAGGAAAGTTCGGCATAAGAACGTTGTGCAATTTATTGGTGCAAGTACCAAGCCACCAAACTTGTTTATTGTAACAGGTACCCTACCGATTCTTTAGCTGTCTTTATTAACATGATGAAAGTGAAATTTATGATTATTGATCTTTCTCACTTTGTTATTCTTTTGTAGTTGAAAGAAAATGCTAATGCTAGTTTTCTTTCTGTCATTTCTCTCTGCAGAATTTATGTCTGGTGGAAGTGTATATGACTATCTTCACAAACACAAGGGTGTTTTCAAGCTTCCAACCTTGCTTAAAGTTGCAATTGATATTTCTAAAGGAATGAACTACTTGCATCAAAATAATATAATCCATAGGGATTTGAAGGCTGCCAATCTTCTAATGGATGAAAATGAAGTAAGATGATTGAAGTTACTCAAGTTTGTACATGTAATTGACTTAAGCTTCTGAGGGATTACTCCTTTCCTGAAATCTTGCTTGGGAACAATTCATTTTGGTTAAATTCTATTAAAGGCTTTGCTTTACAGGTGGTCAAGGTTGCTGATTTTGGGGTTGCTAGAGTGAAAGCTCAATCTGGAGTTATGACAGCTGAAACTGGAACATATAGATGGATGGCTCCTGAGGTGAGGTCTTATTGTGAAAGCCGTTAAAAAAATGTTCCATGAATATCCCTAAACTCTCCTTTGGGTATCCCACGAATTATAAAAAGGGACATGTGCATCGTATGCAGTGCCTCATGTTCTAGAAATGTGGTTTGGCTTAGTGAATGCTAGCTGATCCAGTCGGTTAATTTCCAGTAAAAGTTGATTAGAGAACTGAAGTCCTTGATGAACCATGATCCAAGTTGTTTTCTTCATTTACATATTTACCATAGTTTAAAGCTTTGAGAAAAAAATTTGCTAGTTTTGTTGGTAATTTAAAGTGCAAAACTTGTCCTAGATGTGAGATATTTTGAAAAGGCAAATAATACTTTTTGGAGGGAACATTCAGGAATTGGTTTATTTGCCTCTTCGCCTTCGTTTGCGTTTCTTTATTGTGACTAGAAGGGAAAATAGAGCTGTAACTTGATCAGTTTGTTCTCTATATTCATTCTTGCTTTTGTTTTCCTCTTTAAGTAAATTGGTTATAGTGTTAATCCATTTGAGTTTAGATTATATCATTCCTCCTCTAGTTGGTTGTTCATCTCCTCATTTTCTTACGACAGTTCTTATGCATTGAAGGTTATTGAACACAAGCCATATGATCACAAGGCTGATGTTTTTAGTTTTGGAATCGTACTGTGGGAATTGTTAACTGGAAAGGTATTTTCTCGGTCACTATCTTTTCTTTGATATGTTTGGCTTACTTATACCCGAAGATGCCTGCTGGTTCGTTTTGGTTTGTTCGTTGGTTCCCCTGGTTATTTGCCTTTGTTTGGATTTTCAGATTCCATATGAGTTCTTAACACCATTACAAGCTGCTGTTGGAGTGGTTCAAAAGGTTTGCCTTCTGTCTCTATCCATTTAATCTTAAGGTTTAGAAAAGGTTACTTTTGTAGTGCTTAGACCAACGGTGATCACTTTTTTTTTAAATATATATCGATTCTAGGGTCTACGTCCTACAATTCCAAAGCATGCTAGCCCGAGGCTCACTGAACTGCTCGAGAGATGCTGGCAGCAAGATCCAGCACTAAGACCTGATTTCGCTGAAATTATAGAGATTTTACAGCAAATTGCCAAGGAGGTTTGTTTTCATTCTCTGCAAATGGCTTTTTATCTTATCTCTCTTATTTTCAAACAGTCACGCTCTCCCTTCTCTTCACCCTTTTCCGAAGCACAATCTGGCACAAATAATGAATATGAACATCAAACTAAAAAGTTTAACGCCGGATAAATTTGTAAAACAGGTAGGAGATGAAGGCGAGGATAGAAGGAAATCTTCGGGAGGAATTTTGTCTGTCCTTAGAAGAGGCCACCATTAAAGACAAAAGACTTGTTATACGGTAGATATGTTTATAACTTGAATATAAAGCTTTTTAGCTATGTCGGACAGGCCGTTCCCGGCATTTTTATCAGTACTGTACAGTATGTTTTTTATTCACTTGTTTCCCTTGTGATTTACGGTCGTCTACAACCATGAATGTCAATTCTTCCGGCCAGCCGTTTCCATTGGGATATAAAAGAAAGGTTATATTTTGTAGGTATTAGCATTTCGAATCTTAAACTTCTCGAATATAAGTTTTACGAGTAATTTGCATTATCCAATAGGATCAGTTACAGGTTCATGTTGAGTTTCCCTTTGGTTGAACAATTGACCCCTTAGCTGTTTAAATCACCAATTAAATCATCGTATTTTGTTGTTGTTGTAGAAACAATTAAATCATCGTTGAATCAGAAGAAAGAGTGAATATTTGTTGTACTATTGTTAATGCATTAAAATTCAGTCCTTATAATAGATAAAATTTCATTAAATAATATTTTTAATGTCCTTGAAATTTTGAAAATCAATCTTAATGGATAAAATTCTCTTAAAATTATTTTTAATATCCTTGAAATTTATATTCAAAATCTTATATAAATGAGACATCAAATTTTAAATTTTTTAAAGTTGATTGTACAAGAGATCTTCAAATCGTTATATTTACAAGTTTAAAATGTTTTATTTTAATCATTGAATTATCAATATTATATATTTTTTTTTCATTTTTTGTTACCTGACTGTTGATACAAGGGGTTATAATCAATCCATCATTTGATTGGATGTAATATTTTGGTGAAGGAATAGGTATAACAAAAACATTTCTGCTTCAAGGAATCAAACCCAGGAGCCACAAAAATCAATCATTTTTTCCTTCTACCTTTTCTTATCAGTTCGAACAATTATATTGTTGAGAATAACATATTTACAAGGAGAATATAGTTTGTGGATCTTTTGTGTAATAACCCCAAATCTTAAATTGTTAGACCTGGCATGTGGGTAGAAGTAATTGTTTATTTATATTCCGGTGTTTACAAGTGCAAGCTTCTTATGAGTTGTTCGGTTTTAGTTCTGAAGCTGAACATGAACGTAGACAGTGACACGTAAGACTTGGTTGACTTTTTCTACATTTTTCTGTTCAAAATAAACTGTAAATGGTTTTTACATGTCTCATCATCTCTGTCAACACGTGAAGTTTTAACTCTCCATTCTTCGTTCGGATTTTTTTACCTACTTTCAAGTCGCCATCTACGTGAGAAGAGGGACCGTCAGGTTTTACTCTCACAAATTAACTGTTTTACTTATTTATTTATTACTAATAAAAAATCAGGCAAATTATCGCTCAAGTTGCTTCTTATTTTTATTTTGGTCACTAAAATTTAAAAAATTTTAATATCTTGAGTGGTCTAAGAAGATGTCGATGAATGATAAATGCAGCACCAATGTGAAACAATGATGAAACTGTAAAAATTTCTTCTTTGAATGAATAAGAAAAAATAAAAAAAAGAAGAAGAAAAAAGAGAGAGAAAATGACATGGATCACACATGAAATCCATGTTAATAAAAAACAGTCTACATTAGTGTATATGATTCCCATATCATCATTTCATTTACGTTAAATTGAGTAATTAAAGTAGGAGCAAATCGAAAGTTTTATTAATGAAATAAATATTTTTAAATCTTAATGACCAAAATAAGAGTGAGAAGAAAATTGAATGATGAGATTCATAATTTTTCCTAAATTGATAGAACATTTTACCAAGGCATAATCATAATCTTTGATAAAGATAAAATAATTACGGATACAAATATATATTACGAATATTAGAGAATGTATATTATTTGAGGGAGGAGACTTTGAACTTGGAAATAAATGATAATCAGAAATTAATTATTCTAGATGATAAAAGAAACCAGAAATTCTTATATATATATATATTACTCTTTATAATTAGCAGTAACTGTGTAACCATGCATTTTCTCTGTCTCTTTCGTCTTCAACGCCACCTTTTACTCTAATCTTCATATTGCTTCTCTCTTTCTTCGCTTTCTTGATTGTTAGTATGTTACCATTAACAAATTTTCTTCTTCCAATTTTCTCAACAGAAAAAGAAAAGAGAAACTCATTTGGAAGAAGATCAGGCACGACACCAATATTCTAGCAGCCCCAAACCCTACGTTTAAGATTTAAATTTTCGCAGGCTGCAATGCAGAGATTGCATCCATGGCCTTCACTGAAGCGAATCCTCAATGACGAAACTGAAACCGAAGGCCTTGTCATCGTCAAACTCATCCAAGAAGGAAAGAAGCAATAAATCCAGCACCGAAGAGGTTCCAATTCTATCCGATTTCGATACGAGGAAGCGCTGTTCGCCATGGATGGTGATCCCAGGAAATCTTCGGTATCGCTCGAGCCGGCAGAGTCGAGGACGGGGAACAGAGATCCAAACCACGAAACCAGTTTCAGGCAACCTAATTACGAGTTCTGGGGAGATAGGGATGAGAGGATGGAGGGTGGTAATTATGGCTTCGATTACAAGCAACGATGGCCGGCGGGCGAACAATCGTGGAAGATGATGAATGATCATCTCATGAACAAAAGCACCAACAGCAACGAGATTGCATTAGAGATGGGTGCAGACATAGATGATCTTAGACACGATCCGTCCGCTATATCTCGAGACTCTAGAAGAGTTTCTTTCGAAACAGGCGTCGCAAGTTTCCAAAACCAATCGCAGGGACACGATGGAAACGGAATAATCAATCGGAACGAGGATGCGTCGAGACGTGTATCGAACGTGTCTGCTCCTTACGGAAAGTCGGGTTTGCTATCGAGGCTGAGGAGTACCAAGTCAAGGCTTATAGACAGGTCACCGGAAGAGGTACAATTGATGTCTGGTTTGTTAGGAGGTTCGGGTCAGATGAAGTCCGGAATGTTAGGGAAAGCTTCGGAAAATGAAGAAGACGATGACCCTTTTGCAGATGAAGATTTGCCCGATGAGTACAAGAAAACTACTCTTAATGCATTCACTTGGCTTCAATATTTGAGTCTTGTTGTTATTATCGGTGCACTGCTTTGCAGCTTAGTCATCCCTTCATTGAAAGATCTGGATGTATGGCAGCTTAAGCTATGGAAATGGCTAGTGTTCTTGCTTGTTTTGATATGCGGCCGATTGGTTTCGGGTTGGGGAATCCGAATAATCGTCTTCTTCATCGAGATGAACTTCTTTTTAAGGAAAAGGATGTTGTATTTCGTTTATGGTGTAAAGAGACCGGTGCAGAATTGCTTATGGTTAGCCCTGGTGCTTTTGGCTTGGCATTTCTTGTTTGACAAGAAAGTTGAGAAGCAAAGCTTATTTCTTCAATACGTTACCAAAATCCTCATATGTTTCCTGGTGAGCACGTTCTTATGGTTACTCAAGACACTGCTAGTAAAAGTACTGGCCTCATCTTTTCATGTTAGTACTTATTTCGATAGGATTCAAGAAACGTTGTTTACCCAATACGTGATCGTGACACTCTCCGGTTCTCCGATAATCGAAGGCCAAAGGATGGAAGAAGAAGATGAGAGAACCGCAGCAGAGATCAGAAGGTTGCAGACTGCCGGTGCAACCGTGCCGTCGGATCTTCGTGAGGATGCCTTTCTACAACAACAAAGTAGTGGGATGTTGAAAAAAACATTCACCAGGCTAAAAACACTTCCTAAATCGGGTTCCACAAAGAAAGCGGATAGCGGGATCGCATTAGAACACGTCCATAAACTCAATCAAGAGAACATTTCGGCTTGGAACATGAAGAGGTTGATGAAGATGGTCCGACACGGGACGTTGATGACATTGGATGAGCAGATAATGGAGGATGACTCGATGAGGCAGATCAGAAGTGAACAAGAAGCAACAGCGGCTGCCAAGAAGATTTTCCATAATGTGGCCTGCCGTGGCTCAAAGTGAGTATCACTGGTTGGGTAATTAGTTTGCAAAATGTATTTGTTTCAAAGTTAAAAGATCAAATTAAGCTAAGGAACACTCATTTTGATTGATAGATTTATCTACTTGGAGGATTTGATGCGGTTCATGCGAGAAGACGAAGCTTTGAGAACAATGGCTACCTTTGAAGGTGCTTATGAGCAGAGTAGAATCAGCAAAAAATCCTTGAAGAATTGGGTGGTAAGACTCTTTATCAATACTAAAAGATTCATATCTGACACATATTCGAATACGAATACCAGTACATAAGCACCCTACCAATCTATAAAAGAAATAATGTTCATTGTTGGAACTCTATCTATACATACAATAGCTTTTTGTTTCAGTTGAATGCCTACAGAGAGCGAAAAGCTCTTGCCTTGACCCTAAACGACACAAAGACCGCAGTGAACAAGCTTCACAATATCATAAACGTCGTCGCCGGAACCATCATCATCGTAATCTGGCTCATCATCCTCGAAATCGCTTCGTCACGGATAATCACACTCTTCAGCTCCCAGCTGGTCCTAGCGGCCTTCATCTTCGGGAACACCTGCAAAACCATCTTCGAATCCATAATTTTCTTGTTCATCATTCACCCTTTCGACGTCGGTGATCGGTGCGAGATCAATGGAGTGCAGGTACAAGAAAGAAAAACCCCAATTTTGTGTTAATTATAACGTGTCGTCTAAGCACGCATTGGTGGTTTCAGGTTGTGGTGGAGGAGATGAACATTTTGACCACCGTCTTCTTGAGATACGACAACATGAAGATGGTTTTTCCCAACAGTGTTCTCTCAACGACGCCGATTGGCAACTTTTATCGCAGTCCGGATATGCTTGATTTAATCGACTTCACCATCCATATTGTCACACCAGTCGAAAAGATTGCCATCGTGAAGCAAAGAATAACAAAGTAGGTACAGCTGGAAAACACACCATTTTCAATCGCTATTTGTTAATTTAACTCAATGTTTCATTTTGTTTGCAGTTATGTCATAAACAGAAAGGACCACTGGTGTTCTGATCCCATGATTGTGGTTAAAGATCTCGACGAGTTGAACAGGATGAAGTTTTCGCTTTGGGTAACTCACAAAATGAACTACCAGGACATCGGAGAGAGGCTGGAAAGGAGGTCTCGACTGGCTGAGGAAATAGCCTGCATTTTCAGAGAACATGACATTCAGTACCGGTTGTTCCCCATCGACATCAATGTCTGCGCCTTGCCTACCTCCTCTCGTTACCCTTCGACATGGCCTACGGCAGAAAATTCTGAGCAAAAAGCTACCGATTAATTATTGTAAAGTTCAGGTTAAAGATTTTTACCGGTAGTGAGGTGTTAGTGTAGACAGGGACGACATCAGAACCCTATCCTCAAAACACTTACAATTTAATTAGTTCCCTAGAAAATAATGATACAATTACTACTTCACTCCACTCCACATCTTAAAGAATTATAACTTAGTATAGGGGTTTGAGCTCAAGTTCTTGGGACTTTTTATGTTTTTTTGGCCTTCTTGGTGTTTCATCTCTTTGATTATGAAATTGAAACTGGCTAACTACATATATTGTTGTGATCTTGGTTAAATTTGATTGATGGCAGGTGGGTTTTACTTGATTTATTAGTTTATAGCTTCCATTGATCTGGGATTGGAAATGAATAACAAACCATGAAAACTGGTAACTATAAAAATGCCTTCTTTTACAAGGATTTTGTTTTGAAAAATTGATCTCTTGCTTTCAATGTTCTCTTGAAGCCGAACACTGTGATCTCTGCCATTACTTCTTTGCAAAATGTTTCGAAATGCAGCCTCTTTCATTTGTTGCCCTTTGCTGCATTATACGAAGATGACGATGATGATGATTAGTATGATGATGGGGAAAATGAGTATGATGATGAATATCTTGATGTTTCTCATGATGACATTGATGATGGTGATGGTGACAATGGTGAAGACATTAGTAAAACCTGAAGATACTATTTTTTATCCATATTATTATTATTATTATTATTATTATTTAATATTTATTATTACTTATAATATTATTATATATTATTTATTTTTATTATTATTATTATTATTTTATTATTAAATATATTAAATACATATAATTACAAACCAACCAATTACAATTCAACGGCCCAGTTACAAACCACTGAAACCGGTCCAAATCCAATCAGAAACCCTAAATATTTGGGTTTTCAGTTAGGGTTCCCTAACCCTAATCCCCGCCCTCATCATCACAGCCGTTGGATATGAGAGATCCAACGGCCCATACTCATCCAGCACAAACCCTAGGGTATGATACCCTAGGGCCACGCGGCCGCCGCTGCTGCGCTTCCAGACTCCGCCGCTGCCACGTCCAAACCGAGGACTCCAGAAGACAGAATACCAGCCGTCCACGCCATGGCTACTCAGTGAGTCACCACTGGTAGTCCGGTGACTCACCGAGAGTCCCTCTTCGGACCGGTCTGAGACGAACACCGGTGGTGGCTATAAAAGCCCCACCCCACCTGCGAAACAACAACACACAGAGACAGAAGGACAGACAACCAAAAGAAAAAAAAAGGAAAATAGAGAGAGATATAAAACTACCAACGATCTCAGTCAGCATCAACCACAGCAAGGAAAAGAGAGAAGAGACAAAAGCTTACCCTGTCATCGGAGAGCCCCTTACCCTGTCATCGGAGAGCCCCAACCGTCACGAATCTCACCAAAACTTCGAAAAGCCAAGGTATTATTGTAGATTTGCTCCGATTGGGAGTCTTTTAATGAAAAAAAAACATAGGAACCGTCATTAGGACGGTCCTATCTACATTTAGGATGAAAAATATTTTTTTCCGGCCACCGAAACGGTGGCCGGCGGCGGTGGCCGGCAGAAATCGCGCAGCAGACGGCTGCCGGATTCCCTCCGGTGAGGGAATCTAGAGAGAGGCCAGAGAGAATTCTCTCTCTCTCTCTCTTTCTGCTGAAAAAAAAAAAAAAGGAAAAAATGAAATGGCTGGCCCTTCGGGCCAGCCGGTTTGGACATATAGTCCTTCCCGAACGACGTCGTTTCGGGAAGGACTATACGCGTAATTATAAAAAAATTAAATCCCTTCCGCAGTCCTTAGTACTTGTAAACTTTATATTTTAGTCACTAAATTGAATTTATAATATTTTTAGTTCAGTCTTCGAATTTTAATTTCTTTTATTTTAGTCCTTCATATTAAAATAATATATTTAGGATAAATTACAGATTTAATCCATTAATTTTAATAATAATATTTTAATCCCTATTTATATTTTTAATTTATTTGATTCTAATATCCGAATTTTAGATAATTTTATTTTAGTCACCAACAAATAAAATAAAGAAAAATATATTTAATCCCTATAATTTTGATTAATTATGAATTAGATTTTTAATTTTATTTTTATTGTAATTAGTTATTTTTTATATGTTTTTCATTTTTTTATTTTGTTTTTAAATATATTTTTAGTAATATTTGTATTTTATATTGTTAAATATTTTTATGTTCATAAATATATAATAATAGTATTTTTTAAATATTTATTTTAATATTGAAGAAAAAGGACAGTCTTAATACAACTGGATGTCCTATTCTGATATTTTAAAATTAAAAGTAAACCATATTATTTAAATTAATATTTATCAATATCAAAGAAAAGAGCTGTCTTAAGGCACCTAGAAGTTCTTTTCGGATATTTTTAAATAAATAAATATTTTATATATAATTTTGAAATAATAGGATTATAAATTAAATATATTTTTTATTTTTAAATTTTAATAATAGAGACAATTTATAATTAAAAAGTACCAATTTTGGGCGTTGTAGGGGTGCTAATCCTTCCCTAAACGTAACCGACCACGAATCCCTTTTTATTAGTAAAAAGAACGAATTTTTGGTTATAAAACGCAGATCAGTTCATCTTTTAAATATGGTTTTCTTAAAAACTCTTTTAAAAGATAATTTTTAGGTATTCAACCTACCTGATCCAAAAGGTCGATGGCGACTCACAAATTATTTTCAAAATTATTTATTAACATTAATTTCCCCGCCAAATTTTAATATTTCGTGCCCGGACGAAAACCGGTTACGACAGCTTGGCGACTCTGCTGGGGACACTGGTCAACTTTAAAAATCAATTATAATTGTCTCTATTAATTAAAAATTAAAATTTATATATTTAATTTTTAATTCTTTCTTTTCAAATTTTTTATTTATTTATTATTTTTATAATATTTATATGTTTTATTTTATTTGCAAGTATTTTATTTCAGTATTTATTTTTCTGTCAAAGGTTTGAACATTTCTCCTCACACACAATACTTGCATTGCATTACATAAAGCTCTATAATTGAGTTTGTCCCTTTTAAGTGGGAGTGAAAGCGACGTCTTCGTGAGAATTTATTCTCCGTGTCAGACCTAGCAAGTAACTTCTGGGGTTCATATGCTCTCTGTCTTCGTGAGAATTTATTCTCCGTGTCAGGCATAGAGAAATGTATCCCCTCGAATTGAACTCGATCCACTTTAGTCTGTAATGGACTAGGATTGAGGGTTAGCAGCCTAAGGGGGCACTAACATGGACAATTCGAGTACCTTTACTCCTAGATCTGAAACCCTGCATATAAAACCCTTAGAAACTCTTCCAATCCGAAGTCATGCCGAAATTTTGTCCAAAATAGGTGTACACACAGGAGAAGTGAATTCTGTCTTTAGTGTTTAAATTACATGTTTATTTAAATTATTTAAATTTAGAAAAGCATGTTTAAATAAAGAATGTATGTAAATGCTATTATTAAATTTCTTTATTATGTAAACTAATTTATTTTCTTTTTGTGTGTTCTTTATTTTTCTGTTTACATTGCATCATACAGGATAAAAGACATTGATCCTTGTGTTAATTGTCTCATTGGAAAGCCTTTATCTATGGATAAAAAGTGTTCAAGTCAAGTAATTCTAAACTCAGAAGTAAGACAGTGGGCTGAGGATTTACAAAGACAAGAAGGAGACAGTTTGCAGGATGATTATGTATCTGACTTGGCCAGTTATGCTTCAGTTTCACTAAAAAGAAATGATATGCAAGATTTGCGAAGCATTTGGGAAAGTTGGGATTCAAACAAAAAATTGCAGTTTTATCAGACTTACGGAGACATCCCATATTTGCTCTATGTTGAAGTTGATGATGAATTACTCAGAGCCTAGTTCAATTCTGGAATCCAGGTACAATTGCTTTACTTTCAATAAGGAGGACTTGGTCCCTACTATTGAAGAATATACAACTTTGTTACATCTTGAAGGTGCTTTGGAGAATCGAATATATTCAAAGTCAATTAAAACTCAACCCTTTCGAGTTAAATTAGCAAAGATTGCCGGGGTACGAGAAGAATGGGTAGCATCCCGTACAAAACAAAAAGGCGAAAACGAAGGCATTGCTTGGACCAACATCAGAGAACTTATTCAGAGCCATCCAGATATTAAAGTACGATTCGATTTATTTGCTCTGGGTATATATGGTATGGTCATCTTCCCAAAAGTATTGGGATATATTGAAGCTGCAGTGGTAGACTTGTTTGAACAACTACCGAAGAAGATTAATCCTGTTTCTGCCATCCTAGCAGAGACCTTCAGATCATTAAATGCTTGCAGAAGGTTAGGAGGTGGACGATTCTCAGGGTGTACTCAGTTGTTATATGTTTGGATCCGTAGTCATTTCTGGAGAACAGAAAAGGTTTCATACCGACGCTTTAATACGGATTATTCACCATTAAAGGAATTTCTGGAGCAGGAATGGCCGAAAGAAATTAAGAAAGATATGTGGATTAATGCCTTTCGAAATCTGCAAAGCAATGACGTTGTTTGGCGAACCCCGTGGCAAATACAAAGGGAGTTCTTTTATAGATGTGGTGATTACAACTGGATAATGCTGCTCGGATTATGGGGAGGAATTGGATATGCACCACTTCTGGTTATAAGACAGTATGAAGGTCGTCAATTTGTACCTGTCACTGCTGGACTACAGTCATCTGAGTTTGCATTTCACAGAAAAAATTATAAAAGAAACATCATGGAAGCCGTTACAGCTTGGAAAACAACTTTTTGTATTCGAGCTAAAGCAGCAAAGGAAATGCTAACTCCTGATTATGAAAAATGGAGATCTGTCAGAAAAAACGAAAATATTCCTCTACCAGATCAAAATGAGGATATTCCTATGGAAGATCGCATTAAGGTGGTTCCATCAGAGATTGAAATCTTGAGAGCTGAGTTTGAAGCAGAAAGAGATGGCTGGTCGAAAGAATTAGAGCAAATGAGACAAGATAAAGCTATGTTGGGGGTTGACATTGACTTTCATTCATCACAATGTGCAATGTTGAGAAAAGATAAAGAAAAAGGTGAGGATGAGTACAGAGCCTTACAGAAAGATTACCAGGAGTTATACAAATCCCGAAAAGCATCAGAACCCAGCCAATCAACGGTACAGATGACCAGAGAATTGAACATTGAGAAAAGACGAGTTGAAGATCTAAAAGGGAAGAATAGCCGTCTACTCAAAAGCCTGGAAAAAGGAAAGCAAAAAATGGAAGATTTCGAGGTTGACAGAAGAGAGCGAATTATAAAACACAAGGCTGAACACCGTGAGATCATGAATGAAATGCAAAGAGAAAGAGATCGAGCCAAAGATTTAGAAGAGATGAAGAATGACATCTTTGTTAAAATTGAAAGCGAGAAAAGTATCATGTTCCAGGGATTTGAATCTGAAATGAACCAGTTGATTGCTGAGCTTGAAGTCAGAGGCCAAAAGATGGAAGAATCCAATGTTGAAAAAGAAAAATGGGAGTTAGAAAGAAAAAATTTCAACACCAGACTTGAGGTAGAGCAGGAGGTGGCTAGCAATTGGATGCAGAGATGCATAAATAAAGATATTCAAATCCAGAAGCTTAATCAAAGAACGCAAGAAGCACGAAC